GATAAACTACCAGATAAAAGCATAACCGCAAAAATTGATCTGAAAAATTTCCCTGTTCCAGAGAAGAAGAATACGGAGAAATCTCAGCGAATCCATGGAATGCTCCAAAGGATTTTCTCTCGAATTTATCACACACAAAGCAATGAAGTAGAGAGAAGAGTGAAAGACGGAAAGATTAAATATTAAAAAAAAAATTTGTATACATCTTCCACCTTTAGAATTTGCATCTCTAGTTCTCACTCTCCTACAGTTACAATGACAAAGAAAACAACTCTCACATCTTCCAAGCAACTCTTAAACCTCTTCAATTTTCAAAACTCTCATAAATAGTATGCAAAAAAAAAATTTAGCCAATTTGCCCTTTCGAGATCTCGGTTCCTCTTAACCTATAAAATGGAAGGTCATGGTGACTCACAAGGTTAGATACTTCCAAGTCTCTTGCGTAGAAGTCATGAGCTCTTGGGAAATCGATATTTGCAAGAGGATTGAGCCGCGGCGGAAGTCAATCTGATTTCATGGATTAGCTAATAAGCTTTAACCTCTGTTCTAATGATCTCACCACATGCATATTAATGACTCTCTGGCAACCTGCAGAAGCAGAGTAATAGGAGGAAAGAACAAATAGTGATCAGAAAATATCTTGAGGAATTTCAGCAATCCTCACTTATCAGAAACCTCGGGTTATCATCTAGAAAAATAAACTGTTATGGTTTGGTTCCACTTACCGCCATGGGAACTCGCATGTGTCTATTCCAGCTTGGTGAAGCTCATCGACATATTGTAATGCTTCCTGGCATTCCTCTCGGTCATCATAGAACTCTTTCTTATCACCTTCAAGCTGATATACTTCATGGCCTTTCCCTGCTACAACTTGCAAAAAACAGAGCAATGTCAAGCAAAGCTAAGCTTAGATTATTTTATGTTGAAGCTGAGAATGCTCCTTAGAGGATTTAAATCCAACAACTTTGGAAAGACACTTAGGAATAAAATTGAATGGGTTTATACTGAATACTTACAACCATGTCACCTTCTTCACCCATAGCAACAGCCGCATATTCATACGACATTTCCTTGTTCTTACCCTTCTTGGTCCTAACTGCTCAATCGCAAACGCCTTTTATAACCACAACCATCAAGAGAAACACATGGT